AAACCTCCAAACATATTCTAGTAAATATGTGCTTTTGATAGGTTAAAGAACCAGAGCTAATTAGAGTACTCCAACAAAGTGGTCTTATTTCCAGGAAACTTTAAGAAATGTGATTTATTAAAATGGATTTTTATGTAACTGCGCAAACTTCAACAAGCAATACGCCAATGTCCCTCGTCACTGAGGGATTTGAATAGAGGATGTTTGTATTTTTGGAGATGAGTGATTTTCTAGACTGGAATTGAACAGGGAATGCAAGTAAACCTTAATGTTTCTGGTGCAAGATACTGTGGAAGAACAAAGATAGTTTTTTTTGTTGTTGTTGTTTTGTTTGTTCTTTTTGTTACGTGTTTGTGGCAGCACGGCAATGGATCTTGGTGAACGGAGGGAGCCATTGTATCCACCACCAGGTGCAACGAAGAAGACAGGACGGCCAATGGTGGCCTTGGTCCTCATAGATTAAAGTTCAGCCACCACAATCATTGGAGAAAACTATACATTTAAGCAAAATAAAAACTAGAAAGCATTGTTTCCTCAAACGATCGGGGTGTCAGTTTATATATATATATATATATATATATATATATATATATATGTGTGTGTGTATGTCTATATGTATGTGTGTGTGTATGTGTGTGTGTGTGTGTGTGTGTGTGTGTATATATACACATACATGCTTAAAATCTTACAATGATAATATGACTAAGATAAACATTATTATGGATCTGATGAGCTGGACTTTCAACAAAATCGACAAAATCTTTTCAACAAAACAACAGGGTCCTGGAGAACCCTCTTGCCCGACAGAGACTAATGCTGCAGGGTACATCAGAGATCAGCTGATGTGTCTTTCAGTTCTGTCTCTGGAGGATGCTGAAAACGTTTATATTTTGGATTTATGGTAGCAGGTGTTCTGCTATTTGGCATCGGCGGGGCTCTTTTTATCAACTTGAAGAAGACATCGGCAGCAGTTTTGGCCGTGGCAAAATTTCAGTCTGTGTTTGGTACGTGCTATGAGTACTCAAAATCAGCTGAGTAACAAGCTAAACTGGGAGATGGAGACGATTTGTGAGAATCGCAGGCCACCTGCGGCTTTAGGACTCAACACCATAAGGAATCGACCTTGAGGAGGCTCATAACGTGCATCAGTGGAGAGGAATAACCATAAATCTGGACATTTTGGACCAAGGAAGTTCCAGCAGAACTCAAAGCTGACAAGAAAAAAAACAGTCTGCCTGAAGAAAATCAACAATTGTGGCTTATCTGAATCTGACTCCCCGTT